CATCATCACAATATGGTAAGGGGCGTAACATTTCTGTCACACGCTTGAGGTATTCGGCCAAACACAGTGCACTGGATAGCTGGCCAATCACAGCACACCAGACCGATGAGACCGATGAGCTTTGTAAAAATTGACGCGTTTCAGAAAGGCGGGGCATAGAGGAGAAACAAATAATGTGCAGTATGTGGAAAATAATGTGTTTTTTGAACCCTAAACCGCATAAACACATTTCATTACACCAAATACACAAAATAATGTTATTTTTAGCAACATCATATGACCCCTTTAATGATGGATTTATTACAAATACAACATTAACTGATGTACTGGAGTCATGTGGATTACTTGTTGATTATTGTGATGTTTTTATCTGTTTGGACTCATTCTGACGGCACCCATTCACTGTAGAGGATCCATTGGTGAGCAAATGTTGTGTTTTTATCAGCCTTAGGTTCATTCCAAACTAGAATAGTATAGAAGTATATACAAATAATGAGGCCCTCTGCTAGACAAACTAAAACAAATGGGTGTCACCACCACAGGAAAATGAAAAAGATACACGGCCCCTCATAACTTCTGCATGCAGCCCACATCTGTCCTCTGGAGATGGAGATGGAGAGGAGATCTTGTGCGTATTTCACTGGCATCATGAATCATTCTTACTGAGAGACCAACATGTTAGTTGACATGTGTAGTATTAAAGTTCCTCTCATGCACCCCAGTGGTACGGACTCTACTATAGTAGCCTTCTCTCCTTTGTGCGGTATCTACAGACTGAGTGCACACACTCTTTGAGTTCATCAAGGTCAGGCCTACTTTATTTCCAAAGCTGTAATATCTCCAGCTGGAGCACAACCTAATGGGTTTTGAGGGCATCTTGTACTTTTAAACTTGTTTGTGTTCATTTTTAGCTGTGCTGCAGATAGAACTTACAGGAAAGGATGAAAGCTATTGACCATAACCTTGTTTGTGTTTTATTTATCAAGACGAATGAAAGTACTCTTTTAGGCTGGTAAAAAAAAAAAAATTTAGAAGGTACATCAATGAGTGCCCTAGACATGTCCCTAAAGTATTAAACTACAAAATGTTCTCACTTTATGTCTCTCAAATCCTCCATTTTATTCAGTTCACTCTGCAGCTGCTATCGGTTTCAAGTGTGTCTGGATATGCACCGCTATTTGATTTGAATTAAGAAACACTAAACTACATTTTCTGAGATTTTATTAGAGGTGTTTGAGTTGCGCACAGTGTTGCCAATTGGACAACTTTAACACTGTTTCCGCGGGTTGAAGCGACCCCAATAACGTGATATTTAGTCCCTGGAATGCGAATTTTACCAGGGAGACCCCGCCGAAAAACGTGTATTTTACCCCCTGGAACGCGACTGGGCTAGTTTTGAGTAGCAATTTGGTGGGTTTTGTTGCGAAAACCTGGCAACCCTGGTTGCGCATCACAGAAGACAATGTTAGCAAGCTTTAATTTTATTTGTAGGTGAAAACCACTTAATTTTGAGCTTTTTTTGCATTATGTTCGTCTTCTGGGTTTAAAATCGACAGAATGGATGGATAGATATTTAAAAAAAGATAGATAGATTTTTATATTTAATCTATTTCATCATATTTATGAACACATTCATTAACATTAAATCACATTTAGAAGGTTACAGATAATGAGTTGAGATAATCTCCTCTCTCTAAACACAGCTTTGACCCCTGTGACCTTTGGACAGATAATTGCACTTACAGTACAGTGTTACTTCAAAAGCCCCACTCAAAACCTAATAATCACTTCCTGTATTCCCATATGACCAAGAAAATATTAAGCTGATTTTGAGAGGACCTTCCTCTGCGTTCATTCCCGCATAACTGCTGTAAAATAATTGCAGCCGGTGAATACATTTATCTGTGGAAGGTAATAGAGTGTTGTGTAACAGAAAGGTCTACTGATTGTTATTCGTGGATGACTGTACCCCATCCCACCGGTGCGGAAGCGCTGCTGGAAAATTGAAGCTCCTAAATAAATTTGCTCCTAAAGCAGGATTAGGCTCACCGTTTCGCCGTTTTAATGAGCCTGAATCAATGGAGCATTTCGTCCATATAAATCCCCATTGGCCTGCTAGAAACCGTTTCTTCAAACGTAAAATCTCCAGGCCTATTAGTTTGCCGCCCGTGAGCTGCAATCAGCAGCGAGGAAGGGCTTTGATACATCCCTGCCTGGCTGTGCAGGTTCCTCTCAGCGCTCCTTTCTCTTTTCGGTCTGATTTACGGCACATTACGAACCTCCTTGCCCGCCCCTTCTCGCTCACCTCACATCACTAAACGTATCTTTGCCTGGCCCCACTGCAGCTATATTTATGCAGCACGTAACGGACTAATGTCATCTGCCCTCCTAGATGGAGATGTGTGAGAAGACTCAGCGGAAGTGTTAACCAATAGAAAAGCTCTTTGATTGGGTAATTGGTTTGCTCATGTGTGGCGTTAAGAGCCCCATGACATGCTCTAAACGCTCACAAAGTCATGATCAATGCATATGGCATGCTGAGGGTGAAATTCTGAGGATGGAATGATGTTATTAGTTTTCATTTTGATGTAGCTGTGTAAAAGCCTTTCTAAAATAAGAACTACAGTTGTTTTTTCTTTTTTTTTTTCTGTTCACAGCCGGAAGAGACAGTCGCCACAACCTGACATCATTGCTGGTTCAGCCCATCTCTGCCTCCTTAGCGAAAATGCTGCTCTCTGCCCCCGCCATGGGGCAGGGAAGACCCTGCGTCCCCATGGCCATGCCCTCAGCCTCAGGTAAGCCCTGGGCCAGAAACAATGCCTACTGCACTTACTGTAGATGTCAACAGACAGCCCTCTTCAGCCTCACACAATATCACTGCTTACAGCCCTCAAATCACTCACGTAACTTGAAGGAGAGAAACGTTTTGGCATTAGAAACACTTCATAATGACTTTCAATAATATTATCAATTATAACATTCAAATGTTAATACATTATAGTAGGAAGTTAATTAAAAGTGAAAGTGACGTGACATGTGGCCAAGCATGGTGACCCATACTTGGAATTAGTGCTCTGCATTTAACCCATCCAAAGTGCACACACACAGCAGTGAACACACACACACTGTGAACACACACCCGGAGCAGTGGGCAGCCATTTTTGCTGCGGCGCCTGGGATTAATGTACTAATACATTAATACAATTATGTGTGTGTGTGTGTGTAATGTTAATGCTACATTGTGGGGACTGAATGATGACAGAAATGTATTTTTGAGCAAACCATCTCTTTAAGTATTGTTTAATGCTATTATGAAGTTTTACTGACTTATAGGGTTTAGGTTCTCACCTTACGATCTTTAATGACATTCATTTAATTGTCTTTTTTCACTATTTCAGAAACCGATTATACTGCCATTCTGTTAGGGTCTCTCATGCTTTGTGATTTCTTCCTTATGTGTGTTAATCCTTATGTCTCCACTAAGCTCTGAAACACAATCTTTTGTGCCTGAGATATTCATTAGTCTTCTCAGTCTCATGCTTCTGCTGGGGATTTAACCATCAAAAGCAGCTGCGAGCACATGACGTCAGTGTTCCACCTGCTGGCGGCAGATGGTATGACACTCTTTAGCTCCAGATGAGAGAGGTCGTGTGCTCGGAAAGCCAAGGCTTGTTGATTTATGCTCGGCTGTGTGAGTGTAGCTCCTGAGTGTGGTAAATTACACAGGCTTTACGCATTATCTTAAAGTCGCCCTCGCTGTGGCCGCCCATATCCAAGGCCATTACCCGCATCAGTCAGCGGGTGCCCATGGGACCTAATTGAAACCATGAGAGTAAGGCTGGTCAGCCATCTTACAGCCCTCTCTCATGTAGAGCTTTCAGGGAGGTCAAATGTAACGTTGAATGTGGTCACGGGAGCAGCGGTGGATGTGCTGAAGGCTAAATAAAAATGACTGATGGAGGAGATGACATGTATTGGAACATAATTGAATTTAAGTGAACAAACCTCCAGGGAAAGGTTTTTCACGTGGGATGATGCTTTTCATCGACCAGCAATGAATGTACAGATGTCCTTTTGCTCAATGACCTTCATCTGTGAGTAAAAGTCTTTTGCACACTCCAAAATATGAAGATGCCCAAAGTTTTTATGCACAACAGTTATATAACTAACATGTTTTCGGGATATTTGAAGCAAGTGAGCATATGTCATGAACAGTCTGTTGTGCACATGTTGCTTTTTTTCCTAACATTTAAAAATGCTTGTTTGAATGCATTCTCAAACTTAAGCCATTCTTTGTGTATGAATGTCTCGCATTATGTAACAAAATATCAAAACAAGTGATGGTGTAAAGAAGTAGCATAAAAGTTCATACAAGGGTTTTTTTCCCGACCAAATAAATAAATGGATAAATAAATAAATAAAGTTTTAAATAACAAAACAACAGATATACTTTTCAAAATGAAGACAAACTATTTAAATACTCTCTGTTAGTCAAAGATTAGTGGAATATAGATTAAATTGTCAAATTTGCCTTAATTATATCTCAAATTTGTATTATATTAAATATTTGTCTTTAATCATACAGTATATGCAAAAAGTTATGTGTATCTTGCTACTTTTTTCTTATATTTAAAGTGTATAGCAACTAGAGCTGTCAACTGATTAAAAAATAACTATTTGCAAATTTTTCTAAAAAATAATTGTGATTAATCACACCTAAAATTAAACTTTTATATTGCATTAATTTCACAATCAATCTCACAGAATATCATGAAAATCGGACTTTTCCGGGTTTTAAGTGCTATAATCAGGTCCCCGGTGCATCTACCAACCAAGGAGACGTGAAAAAGATTAACCCAGTAACTTTGTTTTGGTAAGCCTTTTTCTGCAAGCATCTGAAAAAATGAGTGTGTCTGATTTCGCTCGCCTAGTGACGTTGCAAAGGGATCTCATTATAATATTACCGCCCCTTAATCTGTAAGTTTCCACCCACAGCGCCGTCATTTGATTTTGCAAGCGACAACGGTGTACCAGTTCTAATGCCATGACGAAAGTTTGAGCAAAACATGCTAACTGTTCTGCCTTTGGCTGCACAGACGAGTACAGAACACTATTTAGAGTCCCAGCCTCAGAGGAGACAAGAGAGCAGTGGATTTATTGATTTATTTACTGTATATTGCTGCTGGCACACAGATCTAAAATATAAACATGTGATTTATTTCCCAGCTGTTTACCTTCACAGACATGACCGACTGTTTTTGAAACTCATGTGTTTTTAAAGGGGACATAACACACATTTTCTCATGTTAATCTTGACTACCTATATAGTAGTACTGCATCCTTCATATCTCAGAAGAGTCTTTAGTTTTATCAGATTTATAAAAGAAAGATACAGCTTTACGATTCTCTCCGAAAACAACCGAGCTCCTGGAGGCGTGCCGTGGGCGGAGCTAAAGAGTCCCGAGTACTTATGCGCCGATTTCCAACAAAACAGAAATTTGATGCAGTTTTACTCACTGCCTGTGATTTACACACGTGCGAAACTCCGTTGCTGTCCTGGAAAAACAAACTTCATCCACTGTTCACGTAACGCTGGGTTCTTTGGGAAGTTGAACAAGGTTCTCTTTCCCTCACATCCAAAAACACACTTTGGTGACATTCTTCTGGAGCAAGTCCTGTGCAGTGCTGCTGACGACTTACGTAACCTGAATGAAGCACGTTGGTGGGCGCGCACTCTCGCTCTCGCTCTATTTGCTGTGTGCACGTGCTCTTCCGGGAGAAGTGCCCATACAAGGAATTCCACTCTCCATGATGCCATGAAGAGCCATGCTCGAAAAAAACTTTCCGAAACTTATTTCGAACCCGGAAGGAGTGTATTTGACACCGAAATACTCCGTCATACGTCCAAATCATTTTTTGAAACTTTGGCCATGTTTAGCATGAGAATCCAACTCTTTAACAGTGTAAATAACTCCAAATGCATGAAATAGAATTAGACCCCCCCCTTTAACGTAAACTTGTGTGTGAATGAGAACTTAGTTTAGTACTCACATGCCATGTGACAGCCACTTTCTGTCCGTGTGCTTCGGATATGTGTTCGGACACTAAATTCTACTTTAAATATAGATTATTCCTTAAAGCTACAAAAGTTACTGATGTTCTCTTTTCTTTCTTTTGTTCTTTGATTAACAGACATCACAGCAGCTGGATTATTAGGATTTTTGGCTGCTATTACTTTAAGAGCTACCACTGCTGAACATGATGCAGATCTGACACTTTTTACCATTTCTGACCCACTTCAGGTCTTAAAGTCACTACTAATGAGCCTACAAGTTGAATTGGCTATGTTAGATGAGGAAAACAGTGCTGGGGTGCTTCAGGACAGTTTTGTAAACCACTGCATTTCAGAGACATGTTCTTAAATGTGACAAATACTTATATGCTCGTAGTTTCTTTTTCGCTTTAATATGAAATGATATGCAGTAAGCACCACCGCATTTGTGCGTGCTATTAATGAGCATGCACTACGAGTGCAGTATAACAGCTGACAGGACAGGAAAATTCATTTTTACTGACATATGGCCTACTGAAGCTCCTCATCACCTGTACTGTTTCCATGCTCGCTTGACTCGCCCCTGGTGCTTAGGCGAAGTGGAGTACGCATCTGAAAAGTCTCCCGTTTGATGTGGTCGTAAAGACGTTTTGTGTCTAAATAGATGCAATTCTTGTCAAGAAAAAAGAGGGAGTCAACAGTTGTGAGTGGGATGGCCAACCCTAGCTCTGTTAATTGCGTTAAATATTTTTAATGCATCTGCGCCAATACCCTCGTGGTTAGTGCGTCGACATACAGCGCAACTGCGCTCACGACAACCCGAGTTCATTTCCCGTCTCGAGGTCCTTTGCAGATCCCGCTCCCTCACTCCTCCCAGTACTTTCCCGTCGTCTCTCTCTACTCTATCTATAAAAAAAATGCATAAAAGAAAAAAAAATTTATCGCATGCTTTAACATGTTAATTTTGACAGCACTAATAGTAACATGAGTATCCTAAAGCATCCAATTATTTTAAGGGCTTAAAGACAAGTATTTAATTTATATAATCCTTTTTTAAATTTTACACAGCATCAGTTTCTGTTTCAGATGAAATGATGAATCACACTGTACAACACATTGCCGAATGGCGGGAGATGTCTCTCTGTCTGCGCTGGCAGAAAAAAACAGAAAAAGTTTTCTCACTGTTGGTGTTCTGAGTTATGAGATACCAGCATGACAATTAGTGGCACTATGCCAGCGAGTGCTTGTGATGTTTCCTGATGTGTGTGTACATCTACAGACACTTGTATGTGTAAGCTTCATCACATCCTAATAGGTGTCAGAACCTGCCATTCTGTCCATATGGAACATGCATATGAACATGTGCTCACAGGCATCCACCCCCACATACGCAGTCAGAAATACGCTGAGCTCTGAGTCAGCTCTCAGTCTCTCCCTCCGGCTGCATGCGCATGTGTGTGAAGGGAGACTTTTGCTACAGATTTTAATAGGGGTTATTAGTCTCTAATTCCTACTATTGAGTGAAAATCGCTTCTTATCTTTGCATGGTTGCCCAGGAGACCACGTCGCTGTGGCTGAGCCGTTGTCTTGGCTTGATAGAAAGTAAAGGATTTACGGTCCCAGTGACAAAATGAAAGGAAATGGGCTTAAAGACAAATCTTCAAGCTCCAAAACAGACATTAAATGATGAGTAGTTTGCATTTATTGCTGAACTATTTCTTTACTCACCCTCATGTCCTTCCCAACCAGTATGACTTTCTTTCTTCTTTGGAACTTGAGAAGAAATTTTAAGAAAGTTCTGGGCTGCGTTTCTCAAAAGCATTGTAAGCCTAAGTTGATCGTAGCTCCATTGGTTTCAATGCGTGTACGATGTGCTTAAGCTTACGATGCTTTTGTCAAACGCAGCCCTGTTCTTTTTTTTTTTTTTCACACAATCAATTGGGACTTTCAAGCTTACAAATAAATGCAAAAACACCATAAAAGCATCATAAAATTGCTGCATATGTACATACTCCATGGCTTCAGAATTCATGTCATATATTCATATTCATATTATTCATATCAGCTTTGTGTGGTGAACAGTATTATCCTGCGTCAGCAGCATCACACGTATGCGCTGTGGTACTCTCGTGAACATGCATTGAAAAATGACACCGAAGAGAGGAAATTGTTGAATAAAGTTATTATTTTTGTTGTCTTTGCACACAAAAAAGTATTCTAGTAGCTTCATAACACTGAGGTTAAACCACTTATGTCACATGGACTATTTTAACGATGTCATTACTACCTTTCTGGGCCTACCTATACTACCTATGCAGGGTTAGAAAGCGCTTGGATTTCATCAAAAATATCTTAATTTGTGTTCCAAAGATGAACAAAGGTCTTACAGGTTTGGAACGACATGAGGGTGAGTAATTAATGACAGAATTTTAATATTAGGGTGAACTATCCCTTTAATAGATTAAAATGTCATGAGCTCATATCTTAGATACAATAGTGACTTCAATATCCATCCATTTCTTGAAGTTTTAAATTTGAGTTTCGGATGTATTCTCTTTGTGCTGTGCAGGAATTGTTTCGACTCGCATTTTAAAATAAAATTTGTGTATAGATTTGGACTTCGCATTTAGTATATTTATATTTTGTTTGCTTTTGTGCCCGAGTGTCCTGATGGCATGTTGGTACCTTTAGGATACTTTTTTTTACTTGTGTTCTTGATATGTGTGTGTGTGTGTGTGTGTGTGTGTGTGTGTGTGTGTGTGTGTGTGTGTTTGTCATGTGCAAGTGCATCATGTGATGTTTGTTAATTATTTGGAAGTATAAAGGGCTGTTTTTGAGTGTTTTAATTGTCTGATGAGGGTCCTGTGTGCTTGAAACTGAGAGAATCTGTCAGTACATTTATACATTTTAATATGTATTTTTGTCCGGGCACCCACTTTGAGCAATTTGCCAGTGATGTGCTTGCTTATGTTTTGAGTGCACTGAACTCAGAGGGCACAGATTAGGCAAGTTGTTTGTCTGCATGTTTGTGCTATTACAGTACACTCTCTTTCTATTTGCTAATAGTCTCTAATGATAATCAGAAAGCTAGTATGTAATCGGACAAACATATTGTTGTTATTTTGATGAACTAACCTCTGTTTTGATGACTCACTGTCTCAAGAGTATAATTTTGATTAGTACTCTCCTTCACAAATGATTAGCACAAATTATGACCTGGCCTTCTACGAAAGAGTGCGTGCAGTTGGGTTCAAAAGTCTAAGAAAATCTATTTTAATAGAAAATAAAGTTTTAGTATTTAGAACAATTTTAAATTATACATTTTATGACTCAAATGAATGAGAAATACTTATGAAAGATTTAAGTTTCAAAATATGGGGACATAAATACTTTCTTAAATTCATGTGAAATATTTTAGTTCAACTTTTCACTTGGATTTATAAGAATTAATGTAATACAAAGAAAAATCCCATGAATGTGTGTGTGTGTGTGTGTGCGTCACTCTCCAGCTCTGACTGGAACATGGGCCGCTACAACCTGTCTTCTGTCACCAGCCCAATGTCCAGCGATCAATGTCTGCCGAAAACCTGCAGCGGCAACACGAGCGCCATTGATCCTATTTGCTTCAGGAAATAAAAGACGACTTGGAGCCCTCAACTAGGAGACATGCAATACCAGGTCTATCAAAACTTCTTGCAACCCTTCATTTTTTGGCCTCCAGTTCTTTTCAATGTACTGTGGCTTCTTTATTTCTTTATTCTTTATTTGCGACTACACTAATTTGCGCTGCGCTTGGTATATTGCGTTGGTCGATTTTCTGCTTTATAGGTTTAACAAATTTGAAATATATTCTCAATACCCTTAAGTGGCCCCTGGTGTGCGTGTTCACCCTGGTTGTGAATCAGCTTCTTCTCTGGTCTGTGGATCGTGTTCTTCATCGCATATGTGCTCCTATTTTTTATACAGTATATACTTCTAAGGAACATCTTATTCAGGGTCGTTTATAAAACATGAGCCCCTGCAGCTGACGACTTCTTCATTCTTTTCCTACAAGATCACTTTTTCACTTTGCTCACGCAGAGGCTCTCACCTCTCTCAATAGCCGGTAACCTCTCATACCTATTGATGATTAATGGGCAAATCTGTCGCACCGCGACCCGTGTGCACACCAGCACTTTTAAACACTCCCTTACAACTGCATATACATCTTCTACTCTTTACCCAAAGTAATTTGTGCTGTTGTCAGGGGTGATAAATGGGGTTTGTGGGGCTGTGTGAAGCCCACTGAATTTTTAGAGTGAATTTGATTACTCTCAAAGAGTAAAAAAAAAAACACATCTGTACACATCAGCAGCGTTTACATCTTATGTCTGAGGTACCAAACTTCATCTTTATTTCCTGATATTCACATATCCAGGAACAAATAAAAAACTCTTACTGTGTACATCACACACATCTGCCTGCGATCCCGAGGCTTTCATGAAAAGGAATTTTCAATTCCATCTCTGTCTTAAACCAGAAGCTTGGCCGCTGCAGGATTTTTACATCTCCATGTTGGCTCAACGATGTCACTGTAAGAGTCAGACAGAGCGAGTGGGAGACAGAGTGGCTTGGGATGTGTACCAGGACCAGGTGTTTCTTCTTTTTATCTGCTGGGATATCAGCCTCATTGATATTCACTCCATCACACCGAGCCTGTGTGTGTAATTGGTAAGAGTGTGAGCCGAATAGTGGCGGCACCTTTTTAAGCTACTCTGATGGTGTACACTTTCTCTGCAACACACAAACGAATGGTGAAAGCAAAGGCTATCTGCTCTTTGTCTTATAGTTTCTGTACATATAATAGGAGGGTATTTAATAGGGAAGGATGTGCCAAAAATGTGTAAGTGATATTCCAAATGGAAAGTCAGGGCCCAAAGTCAATGGAAAGCTGCTACTGGGCAATATGATCAGTGATCTCACATCAATATACTGTACTATAAGATGTATATGTATCTAAATGGTTAGTAAAAAAAAAAAAAAAAAAAAAAAAAAGAAAAAAAAAAAAAAAAAAAAAAAAGCAGCACAGGAAAAAAAGAGGGGGTAATTAAAATAGTAATGAATAATTAAAAGAGATGCCATTAGATCAAAAAGTGGGCAGTTACTTAGTGAACCTCAGGAACAATAAGCATGTATGTTCTAACTTTTTATTTTAGCATGTGATTATTAGGAGATATCTATCTATCTATCTATCTATCTATCTATCTACACACATACATCTAATATATTTTTTACATCTAATAAATTGTTTTTGAGAATTTAGTTGAATAGTTATAATATTAGAATTTTTGTTTAAAAATATGTGACATTTTTATCATTTAAATAATTGGTTTAATAATACTGCTAATAATAAGAATAATTTATTAATTTATTTGAAATTCTGACAATTTAATTGAATAATTGAAATGTACTGTATTATTATTATGTTGTTGTTGTTGTTAAATATTAAATGGTACTTCCATTGATTATATACATTTTAGAATTAAAATATATGTATTGTTGGATTTAGTACCAATATTTTACAAATTTTCCTTTTCTGTTCTATTTGATTGATTGAAGGCTCAACCTCTTTTCCTTTTTTTTCTTGTAGCTGGATTTGAACTTTTGGATCTGTCAGTGTCCCATAACCTTGACTAATTCGCTTGGAATTTCTGTTTGTTCCTCAGCAAGAAAAATCATAAATCTCACCATTGAAAACCAGGCATCCTTCAAGACTGTGCACAATGTTATTGGATATCTCAAAGGCAAGACCAATCCAGGTAGGTCAGCACAAAACCAAGACAGCGCATTTGTAACCCAAATTATCATTTTACAAACCCAAAGGGCTTTTTGTCATAGTTAATGCTAGATTATTTCATTTAAATAACAAATCACTCTCATTTTAACTGCATGATATTGCCAGCGTGTCCCAGGCATTGTCCTAAACCACTGCGCTCTTTGGTCTGACATAACAAAGACACAGTGCTTGGTCACAGTGCTTTATTGTATTCGTGATAGCAGAGCGAGACAAGAGTGCAATCTAAGCATTCTTTCCTTCATCCGCTGAAAAAGCGTGAGTCCAGGGGGCGAATAAAGCCGAATCTGAGCCCACGTGCTGAAGCAGCCCTTTTTCCTCCCAGCGCCATGACAAACTAATCTCTTAAAACAACGTCTGCCGCCACCGTCCAAATGCAGGTCACTTGGCTGCTGAAAATAGGCTTTTAATTACGGACTACTATTTTCACCTTCAGGATGATTTAATCGCACATCTGATGTAATGAAAGCGTTTAATCTTTCACCCCCGCCCCTATGACTGTAAAAGTCACTGTGTCTATGCATTAAGCCCTCCATAATTTACTTTCCAGATTTACGGCACTCTTTTCCTGTCATAATTGGTCGCCCAGTCACTAATTACGTATCACAAATCATGCAGAGGCGTTCTTCTCCTTGACGTTTGTCTTTTTATAACATGTTTACCTTTCATTTATCTGGCAGACTGTCTTGTTTATTTATCATTTTGATGTCATTTTAATAACTTCCCTTAAGACCGCAGAGGTACTCCTGAGTACAGGTTGGTTATAGTATGCTTTAGTTCTTTGCTCTTGTCAGCTTGATGAGTCTGTTTCTACCCTCACTAGCTGTCAGTCAGAGGTGGCCCAGTGCTGCTTATAGCCCGCGGCTAATTGCATGAGAAATTGTTTCTTTTCTGGTCTGTATGTTGGTGTACGTGAAGCTAGAGTGTGTGCAAATCTAGAGAAAGTATAACTCGTACAGTATGTATGTACATTGCACACAGATGTTAGGTTTTTAAAACAAGTCTCTCATGCTCATGCTCAAGGCTGCATTTATTTGATCGGAAAAATACAGGAAAGAGAGTAATATTGTGAAAGATTATTACCTTATACAGTGGGTACGGAAAGTATTCAGATTTTCTGTCAATATGGGGTGCTGTGTGTACATTAATGAGGAAAAAAAATTAACTTAAATGATTTTAGCAAATGGCTGCAATATAACAAAGAGTGAAAAATTTAAGGGGGTCTGAATACTTTCCGTACCCACTGTAAATTAATTGTTCTAGTTTAATATATTTTAAAATCTAATTTATTCCTGTGATCACAAAGATGACTTTTCAGCAGCCATTCTACAGAAATCATTCTAACATGCTGACTTGTTGCTCAAGAAACCTTTTTTTCTAATTATTATTACCAATGCTGAAAACAGCTGGTTAATTTTTTGTGGAAGCAATTATTTGAAATAGAAATTTTGTGTATAAATATAAATACTACACATTATAAATATATTTAATGTCACTTTTGATTAATTTAATGGTTCCTTGTTACATTATATATATATATATAAAAGAACGCAAACTTTTGAACTGTAGTGCAATAATTATCTCTATGACATGATTAGACCTACTAATATGTGATCACTTGAGTAAAGAGCAACAATAATAAATGTTTGATAGAATACGTGTTTTGTAAAAAAAAAAATATCAGCAGCCCTTACCAGAACTTTACAATAAAAATACAGTGCTGATGTTACAAGGTTTGCAGGGTTTTAGGCAAAAAATATTTTGTTGTAATTGTTGATGAGGGAATTTCAGGGAAAGCTACCCCTTTCTCTATAAATTATCATAATTCGTGCTTTTTTATTTAAATTTTATATATATATATTTTACAGTAAAATTGTAAATATTACTTTGTTAATAATAATATACATTTTATCCATAAGTTTTTGTAATTCAAGCTTTTTACTTTTTACTACTGTACATTTTTCCCAATATTTTAATTGGTTTTATTTGAGTCATACATGCTGTCACAAATACATTGTTACACTAGCAAAACTCAATTTAATGGCCGGATTAGGTAGAAAATTTAAGAAAACTTAATTGAACATTACATTCTTTTTACAGTGTGGTAAAGTTAACGAATTAACAGTTTTCTCTTAAAATGTGTTTTTCATTTATTCTATATGTAATATTAGATTCCAGATGGCAGGAAATCTATTTAAAATATGAATTTAAAAAGACAAAGATCCTCCTAGTTTTCATACGGTAGCTTTACCCCGCAGTTGATTGACCCTCTGCCTGTGTGAACATGTTTGTTGGTGTGTGTGTGTGTGTGAGTGTTTGTTTATTTCTTGTTTTGTATGTAAGTGTTCCCGCTCTGTTTCCCCTTGTAGATCGATATGTACTGGTTGGCAGTCGTCATGGCAGCTGGTACGAGGGTGCGTTGGCGGACTGGGGGAAAGGCTCTGCAGTCATGTCTCAGATCATCGCCTCCATGACGGCTCAAACCCGTGCGGGCTGGCAGCCCGACCGCACCATCGTCTTCTGCTCCTGGGGGGGAACCTCACTGGGCAACATTGGCTCCTTTGAGTGGGGGAAGGTAATATTTGACTATTTCAGTCCAGCCTCATTGGAAAAACGTGCCTGCGGTGACATTTCTGCTAAATAATATTACATTGCTTGTACATTTTGCAAAACATTCAAAGTGACGTTAAAAGCACAGTCGGTTTTAACCAAAACCAATTATCATTCAGTCAGTGTCTTATGTTGGTTGTTGCTGGTATCACAGTTAGGAAATTAAATGTCTGGTGAGTGGCCAAAAAGGTTAATGCTTTATCACATTTGAAAATAATGTACCGCCTACACTAATCCTAACCAATAGTGTTAACAGAAGCAAACGGGAGATAAAAACACATTGTTTTCCACTTTAGCTTGCTTGTACAAGTCTTTGAGCTCTTTTATTGAGACTTGTGTTTCACTGGTCTTGACCCAACTGCTTCGCTTAACAAGTGCAGTGCTGTACCGGGTGAAAATTCTGAGCAAGTTTACTATGTCAAAAAAGCCTTATATATGTGGAGCTGGTTGTGTGATGCAAAAAGCATTTTGAGGTAAAAGTGTTAAATGTACAAGGAACCATGCAAAATAAGTATTTTTTAATCAATAGTATGCCACTGTAATCATAATTGAAATAAAAGTTATTTTACTGTCTTTTACTGCCTCTAGTGTTAATCTCAGCTAGACACTGTAGTGAATTGTATGTACAAGTTTGTTTTTGGAGTTGGACTATTTCTTATTTAAACATCCTTAAACAAATTTCAACAAGGAATTAATGTAGGAGCAAGACAAATGAGCATGTGCACTTTATGACCCCTATGCGGCATCCAGGTCACATTATAGCCTACAATTTACATATATAAGATGCATATTTTAGATGTAGATTTAAAAAAACATGCTTGAATTGGTCTAATACATAATAAATATTAGTTTATAGAAATCTTTGTCAACGATGTGTAGGGTCGCAACCTCAAAGTTGAGTTTAGTAGTAGGTCAAAAGCACTTCCCTTTTTCTCTTCCTCAGTTTGACAACTAAAGCGATAGAGGAAAAACATAAATAGTACAGATTAGCCTTGAGCAGCCGTACAAAAGCTTGCTAACATGATCAGCAAGCCATGAAGATTCAATCAGACAGATGGATGATTTTGGAGTGTTAATGAAATTATTCTGTTCGGCAAAGGAGTTTATTCTAATCAGTACAATGCAAACGTCATCATTAATCTGAAGAAGCCCCTAATAATGTCAAAATAAAATGATAGCTTTTGAGTATGAGAAAGACAGTAATGGTTCAAATTATTCACAATGCTCATTTAACAAAATTGTAGTGTCTCATTGGGGGTTACTCAGGCTTTGATGCCAAAATACCAGTCAAGGCCCTGACATATCATCAGTTGGCAGTAGACGGCTGTGTTTTGTGTGTCTGTACAGGAGAATGCAGTGGTTCTTCAGAGCAGGGCAGTGGCTTATGTCAGCCTGCACAATCCCGTCAGAGCCCCTGGATCCCTGCAGGCCATAGCGTCACCTTCCCTTCAGCAACTGGCAGCTGAAACCCAAAAGGTACTTTATGAATATTAATTTATATCCACTTAGACAAGAAACGTGCAAATAGGACTATAAATAGAGTAGATGCATATGTTCCAGAAGCTTACATAAAACCCTACCCATCACTATCATTATTGGCTGATGCAGTATCTTGCTGTAGCTTTTTGGCCTTCCTATTATTCAGACTTGCACTACAACAAATCTGTGCACATGGCCTAGACTCCAAAAAAAACAAAAACTGAATTTTTGTTACTTTTTGTTACTTTTTTTGTTTACATTTTATTTGCTTCACGTAACCTCTTCACTACAAATATGTGCACATAGCCTAGACTTCCTAAAAAGAAATAAGGTCGGTTGTTTGTATGTTTGTTTGTATTTATTTATTTGTTTGTTTGTTTGTTTGTTTATGCTTGTTAGTCTCTCTGTTTTTTAGTTGCTTCACATAACCCCTTTGCTACAAATATGTTATCATGGCCTAGACTCCCTCAAAAGACATAGGGTCAGTTATTTGTATGTTTGTTTATTTGTTTGTATTTATTGTTTTGTTTATTTACGTATGTTTGTTTGTTTGTTTGTCTGTCTGTCTGTTTGTTTGTTTTTTATTGCTTCACATAACCCCTTCACTACAAATATGTGCACATGGCCTAGACTCCCCAAAAAGACATAGGGTCAGTTGTTTGTATGTTTGTTTGTTCGTAGGTATGTATGTATGTATGCATGATTTTATTTATTTATAAGGCTTCACATCCCCTTATACTAAAAATCTGCACATGTGGCCTAGACTCCCCCAAAAAGATATAAGGCCAGTAGGGGTGGAACGGTTCGCGGAAAAAAATCAACCATACGGTTCTCCACACACGGTTCGGCATGCGCTAGGACCGCGGTTCAACTTAAATCTGACAACGCATCTGTAATATGGTTTGCTATAAATAACACGTAAAACAAACAGGGTTCGGCTAATGTACGCTCTTAAGAAAAATGGTTCTAAACAGTACCAGAAAAGTGTTCTTATCTAACAAAATGGACCAAAAATTCAATATCTTTGTTACTTACTTAGTGAAAAAGAGGAGAGTATCCTTAACTGAATAGAGCTGGTCACATTTACATGTTCTCTTAACCTAAAAAGAGAAGGGACATAGGAAACCAATTAGCATTTGAAAGTTATAATTTATAGACATTTAATTTTTGTTACTTTTTGTTACTTTTTTTGTTTACATTTTATTTGCTTCACGTAACCTCTTCACTACAAATATGTGCACATAGCCTAGACTTCCTAAAAAGAAATAAGGTCGGTTGTTTGTATGTTTGTTTGTATTTATTTATTTGTTTGTTTGTTTGTTTGTTTATGCTTGTTAGTCTCTCTGTTTTTTAGTTGCTTCACATAACCCCTTTGCTACAAATATGTTATCATGGCCTAGACTCCCTCAAAAGACATAGGGTCAGTTATTTGTATGTTTGTTTATTTGTTTGTATTTATTGTTTTGTTTATTTACGTATGTTTGTTTGTTTGTTTGTCTGTCTGTCTGTTTGTTTGTTTTTTATTGCTTCACATAACCCCTTCACTACAAATATGTGCACATGGCCTAGACTCCCCAAAAAGACATAGGGTCAGTTGTTTGTATGTTTGTTTGTTCGTAGGTATGTATGTATGTATGCATGATTTTATTTATTTATAAGGCTTCACATCCCCTTATACTAAAAATCTGCACATGTGGCCTAGACTCCCCCAAAAAGATATAAGGCCAGTAGGGGTGGAACGGTTCGCGGAAAAAAATCAACCATACGGTTCTCCACACACGGTTCGGCATGCGCTAGGACCGCGGTTCAACTTAAATCTGACAACGCATCTGTAATATGGTTTGCTATAAATAACACGTAAAACAAACAGGGTTCGGCTAATGTACGCTCTTAAGAAAAATGGTTCTAAACAGTACCAGAAAAGTGTTCTTCGGCTTGTAACAATAGCAGAACCCTTTTTAGTGCTAAATAGAATTTTTATAGGGTTCCATATAGAACCATGCTTGAAAATGCCATATAGGACCTTAATGGTGTTATAAATAACCTTTTTAATGATAGTTTTTCATTAATATTAGTATGTTAATATCATTAATATTAGTATTATTTGTATATATTATTTATTAATATTGTTTTTTACCCCTCTATCGGCCTGGTTTTATAATATCTTGAAGTGTCTATTAGGGTTTTACATACAATCAACAACAACAACATGTCAATTAGGTACTTTTTTTTCATGACGTGAAATTGTAGCAAAAATGACAGTGTTCTAACAACAGTTAATAGCAGAATACATTAATGAATGACAATGGACATTGAACATAAATAAATGCTTAAAGAAATAAAACAAAATATAAAATAAAATAGTGTACTGAAGACCAAGCTCCAGTGAAATATCTTCACAATCCTCTACAATTAGCATTTGAAAGTTATAATTTATAGACATTTTAAGAAAGACATTATTTACCTGTTGAGAGTGTGTTGACAATCTGTGTTGTTGGATGGCTGAGCCTCGGGTTAAGGTTTTACATTAAAACAACAACAACAGTAACATCAACAGCAGCATGTTGTGTGAATTATGTTTTTATTGACAATTGTCAGTGCTCTTAACAGTTATTAGCTGAACATTAATGAATGACAATTTACATTGAACATGAATAAATACATAAAGAAGTAAAACACAAAATAAGAACAAAAAATAGATATGATGAAAACCAACTTTCAGTGAAACAATCACAATCCAATCAATATGATGCCTTAAAGTGTATGCTGGAATATGAGCAGTCATTTATTACGTCATCACCCGGGTGCTGATATCGCACGCGCACAGGTGAGACCTGAACAGCACACGTTGATATCTGTGTTTAAACTAAACTCGTTTAAGCTTTGCCAGTTTAAACATTTAAGAGCCAGAGGATGCGCGCGCAGTGAGAAGATTTGTGCGGGCACTCATCCAAAGCGCGCAAACCCGCACCTCAGAACATGCACAAATATTAAGCTCTCTCTGAAGTATTGTGTCTAAGTATACCCGTCTTGGTAAGTATCCTATAGCAGACATAGCCGGCTGAACGTACTGTATCAGTGCACTGGATCAGTGCATTCTCTTAAAGTGACAGCACTATTAATCAAACAGCAACAACAAAGAATTCACTCATACAGTGAAATATGCAATGCTGTTTTACATTTCATTACTTTATTAAATTTCTGTACCTAAAAACTAATGTTAGGCTTACCTAAAAAAAAAAACTGAAAATCACTGTTTATTTTATTTGTATCTTTACTCTATTGTATTTATTTGTGCTGTTGCTTGTAGTTAGATAGATTATTCTTATTTTCTTTATTTTTATTTGACAGTATAGTTTTTCCCTAAACATAGCACATACCG